CTTGGCAACTGGCAAGGAAAGCCTTTCCTTATATTATTATTCAATGGCTTTACATTTTCTTGTTTTTTATCCATATTTAATTTTTTCTGTATTTTTCTTTAAATTCTGTCTAAAAAGCAAAAAGCTTGTCGGCTGGTGCAGCTTGACTTGGTCCATTGCCACCCTTGTGTTTTGGATGTTGCTCAAATGCTTGTTGTCATCCTTTGTGTTTTGAATGTTTTGATGCTTGCTTGCTTACCATCACTTGGCACCAAAGATAAAAGAGTAGAAGGATATTGGCCCATACAACATGGTTTCTCATTAACGATCTCTTTATCTGCCATACTTGCCTTAAACCTCAAAGATCTATGAAAAGCAGAAAGAAAAGGAGAAAGATGCACCACACATTTTGTATTGTATGCTTCCAATGGAAGAATAATAGAGGTTTTAAGATCATTTGCAATTACATAAACTTAATAGAAGAAAATAATAGTTGTCATTCTAAAAATGAAACTTTTATGTGTAGTAATATTGCATTTAATATATATCAGGAAAAAAAAAGGATATAGTTGTGAATGAAGAGTCTTTATGTGGAAACAAAATTTGTGAATGGTTCTATCAGTTGGATAGAAGAACTTCAATCTAGGAACAACATTAAATCAGAATTTAAATCAGAATGATGGGAAAAACAAAAAAATCGCTGATGCATATGAATTCAATATTTTAAAATTATTGTATCACTGCTACATCATGTATATAAAAAATCTAAAGTTTCAAAATGTTACCTTTTAATGCATATTTGACACCAAAGAAACAAAAAAAAACGATCTAGAAAGATGTGCTTTCTAGTAACCTGTTCTTGGATTTATCATGAAATATTCTTTCTCGTTTCTATTTATCACCTGAAAGAAACATAGTTGTTTTTCACAATTCACATTTTCCCAGTATTGTAGCTTAGTGCTTGTTTGGTAAATGTTTTGTTTGCTAAAAAGCTTGTGGTTTAGGCAAAACATTATTTTGAACCACACATTTCATGAACCCACAACTTTTATTCCCTTTTTAACCACATATTTCATAGGACCCACTAGTTTTTATCAACGTTCAGCAACATTACACGACCCATTACTGTAAACTAATATAGATTGTGCATAAAGCCCCTAAAATCAACAATTTCATTGTCATAGTTGTCATTAATAATTGAAGCAGGAAACTTAGCTTGGAGATCTGGTTATAATGTTAAATGGTTTTGTTTGCAGAGATGCTCTTGATGCACTGGGGTTGGTTCGTTATTGCTGCCGGAGAATGCTGATGACTCATGTTGATCTCATTGAGAAGCTTCTGAACTACAATAGTACTCTCTCTCTCTCTCTCTCTCTCTCTCTCTCTCTCTCTCTCTCTCTCTCTCTCTCTCTCTCTCTGTGAACGTGTGTTTGCATGTTTGTACTTGCAACCAGGTGGCTGTCTATTTTACTGATTTTTCGCTGTTACTTTCTTTTACAGCTTTAGAGAAATCTGAGGGAAGTTGATGCTGCTTGTGGAGTACAATCTATGTGGGGGTCCCATCATTTGTTGTGGTAGTATTGTGGTATCAACTTTTGTTGTGTAAGGAGGCGACCTGTTTGGAACCATTTATCTGTTAATCAAAGATGTATGCCATGTGAATAGTAGAACAGAAGTACTAACTCCTCCACACCATCTGTTTAGTTGTTGGGAACCCTCAAATGTGGATTTTCATGGGAATGCTCTGTTTGTTGAAATCGACTTTTTCGTTTGTGCAGTTATTTGTTTCCTTCTTATCCTTCATTCGTTTTCCTTTTTCTATATAAAAATCATTACAGATTCAAGTTGATGGAAGATTTTAGGTTTCTTCTGTTTTCTTTCTACTGAGTCTACCAATTTGCCAGATTTTTTATGTATGCATCTGCACCCTCGCATGTTGTACTGGCATACTGAATTAACATAACTGGGTTGTTTTAGGGGTGACATTAGGGGCGGATCCAGCACAAAAGTTTAGCCCGGGCCGATGTTGACTATTGACCGTCGACAATCAATGATCGTAAGAGCGAAATTGTTTATTAATATTTAATTAAATAATATTAAAAATTATTCAATATATATGTAAACGCACTAAAACATAAAAATTAATACATAAATATCCAATGTGTATTATCCAGTTTGACATTTTCAAACAATCCCTATTAAGAATGGATTTATTATTATTCACTGCTTTCCATCCTAATTCTGATTAATCCACCTAATGAGTATACATCAACAACCATAAATGGGTGTAGGGCAAACTTATCTAGAAGCAGCTTTCAAAATCTATAATTCAAAAAAGTTGCATAGTTTTTACCCGTAATCGGGTCAACCAAATTCACTCTCTTTTAGCCTCTGTGGGAAACTCAAAAATGAAACAAAACTCACCCAATTATGGAAAATCATGAAAGCACAATACCCATATGAGAATTTGAAATCTTGAAGAAACCCAAATGAGAAAAATTGATTTCAAAGACAAAATGTCTGTTAATAGTTGCCTGCAATGTATGCTTAGCAGCGGCAGAAACTTGGCAGGCGGCGGGTCATTGGACCTTCCGACTTCCTACACGGCTAGCGTCAGCTGGACTAGTGGTGGTGGTGGAGTCACCGAACATAACGACGGGAAGAAGCAGCGGCAGAAGAGTAGAACCGTGGAAAATGGAAATAGTTTGAAATTGGATGGGCCTGCACCTATATATAATTAAACGATTGGCCCTAGTTAATTTAAAAGCAGATGCCACAAGAGAAAATTACCATAAACAAGAGAAGTAATGAAAATCCCTTGTTTGATGATAAATGCGAAACTAAAAAAAAAAAAAGGATCCCCCATTGGGAATGAAATTGTGCTCCCTCTGGTGTTGGGGACCCCATCCTCGGCTTGGGCATGAGAATAAAATTGATGAATTGTTCTGCGTGTACAGAGTGGGCGTTCACGGAACCCCCACCGACAACTCACATGGGTGGTGGATGGGTTATTTTTTTTATAGAGGTGGGACCCACCTCTATGTGAGTTGTCGTTGGGTGAACCCCCACCCCTGTACACGCAGAACAACTCAAAATTGATTTGATAATTTGCTATAGATGTCTAAACAATTATGTTTAGAGGGGCACGATTCACGATTGTTGTTTCCTATCACCTATTTTCCCCCAAACCATCCAATCGCCTTCCCTTATCACAGAAGTAATGAAAATCCCTTGTTTGATGATAAATGCGAAACTAAAAAAAAAAAAAGGATCCCCCATTGGGAATGAAATTATGCTCCCTCTAGTGTTGGGGACCCCATCCTCGGCTTGGGCATGAGAATAAAATTGATGAATTGTTCTGCGTGTACAGAGTAGACATTCACGGAACCCCCACCGACAACTCACTTGGGGGTGGATGGGTTATTTTTTTATTTTTTTATAGAGGTGGGACCCACCTCCGTGTGAGTTGTCGTTGGGTGAACCCCCACCCCTGTACACGCAGAACAACTCAAAATTGATTTGATAATCTGTTATAGTTGTCTAAACAATTATGTTTAGAGGGCACGATTCACTATTGTTGTTTCCTATCACCTATTTGCCCCCAAGCCATCCAATCGCCTTCCCTTATCACAATTGTTGTTTCCTATCACCTATTTTCCCCCTAACCATCCAATCGCCTTCCCTTATCACTTCAAGCGTTAACTACATTAATAGTTACTCAAATTCTAGTATCTCTTCATGATGTTCTTTCTTATAAAACCGCCGAAAACACCAAATCACCTCCAAATTGATCGGTTTAAGTTTTCTCTCTTCTTTCTTTCCTCAACGCAGAATTTGAATATGGAGGTCTCTCATTTCAGGACTGAACAGTGGAAGGGAATCCGTGACCTTAGTAATAAAAAATAAATAAAATAGATTTGGTTGTTCTTGTGCATAACTTGTCCCACCATATACCTCGATATGGCCAATCAAATGCATCACAGCCAGCACTCAAGCTACTCTTGGACGAGGCTAAATCCCTTGGCATTCTTTGGTACTTGCCATAACAAACAAATTCTCTGTCAGTGCACACCAGCAAAAGGCAACTATTAACGATGTACTGCAGGCATATCAAGCGACTCCTAGCATGACTGAAGTTATCAATTCATGTCCATATGTCATGCTCAGCGCTGCAGGTTGTTCTGTGTCATGGAGCGCAATTGACAAAGATCCCGACAGCACAATGGCTCCTCAAAAGCTCGTCTTTGCCCCTTTAAAATCTTGTTAGGAGGCCTTTTCAGAAGAAACGTGTCGTTCTCCCTGTAGAGGGTGTTTCTGCTCTCTCTGTCAACTCATTTGCTGGCTGCTTCGCTCTCAAGAAGAAGCTGCTTTATAGGTACAAGTCTTCTACTTTTCGAAATACATTCTTAACCTTAGCTTAACATTTATGGATTTAGTTTGAAGTTTGCCTGCTATGTTTCTCCTTTCTACTCGGAAGGAACTTGCCTGAGATACGCTTTTATTGGAGCTGGCTAGGGAGCGTGCAATTGCTAGAGATACAAGGTAAGATGACCAGGCCAAATCAAACTCATTGACTGCTGCAGCTATTGGTGCCTTCATAGGAGCAGGTGTTGGAATCCTGCTGGCCGTTTATCATGGGCGCTGCCTCAGCCTTGAGGAAGCCATGAAAATATTTCACAGATGTAATAATTGTTAGTAAATAGGTAAATTCTCGTACAAGTGCAAATGGGACCGTCCATTGAACCACTCTACGGTGAATCGGTGATCATTTCATGGTGGTGTCAGTGAATGCAAAACCAGAACGCATCTTATTTTCACCAGATAAAACATGTCCTGTCCAGCTAGAACATATAAAATTTAATGACCTTCAATAGATAACACGAGCATTGATTGTAGCTCAAGGTTAATGTTACATATGCTATCTAAGGTCGATCCTAATGCCCGATCTAGCATCAAAATCAGCACTAATTCAATGAAATAAACTGAAGCCGGGGAACAAGAAATAGGCAGAAAACCAGAAGTCATGCAGAAGAACAGCAGGAATAAGTGCTCTTATTTTGCTTCGTTAAGTCGACATTAACCCGGTTGACAGACAATTCAGCCTTGTAGGAATCAGAGTTGAGAATTTTCCGGCTAATATTGTTGTAGATCTCACGGATAACAATCTCAAAAGCCTTGTACACATTAGTAGAATCCAATGCAGATGTCTCTATGAAAAATAATCCTTCTTCTTCTGCAAGGCTTTTCCCATCCTCCAAGCTCACCTCTCTGATGTTCTCTAAATCACACTTGTTCCCGACCAGCATTCTTGCAACAGTCGTATCACAATGAGCTGCAATAACGGGAAAGGTTAAAAATTGTTCAAGCACTTTATTGCATGTTTGGCAAAGAACATTCAAATAAACTTTTTGAAAATGAGCCACCGACTATCAACTGATCACTTGATTTCTATTAATCATCTAAACCCCATTACTAAAACAGTTTTGGAAACATATTGTGGCCATAATATGAAAACCAGAAGAATTGTTCCTTAAACTATTGTAAGTTTAAGATACAACTAATCTCTCAAGAAAGATGAGACAACTTCATTTTGGTTGGTGAAAAGGACTATGATCATCAATATTGTTCTGCGACTAGCTAAACAGAAAATCAAACATAACAGGGTAAATTACAAGTACAATGATGTTTACATTTTCTTATCGTCCAAAATCAAACAAAATTGAGCTGCCTAAAGACTCCTCAAGTCACCACTATACTCCTTTCAACTTACGTTCGCATTGAGAAGGATACGGCAGGAAAAAAAAAAAATTATATCTATATATATATATACATATTTTTTGATAACCGTGGATATCCGGTCCAACTTGTGCGCACCTCGACTAATTCCACGGGGCCTTGAAGTTTACGGCCGGATACTCACCTCAGTGGTCCTGAAGGGACTCGAACTGATGAGCATTGGGGAGCAAATCTAAGACCTGACCAATTGAGCGACCCCTCAAGGTTATATCTATATATATATATAATCCTGTAAATATGCTCTATTATGACTAAAAATCATAGTTACTGAAGTTAGATATCAGCACCTATCAAGAAGCTCGATAACATTTGTTCATACCCACAGGCCACAGCCCTCATTGCTAGACTCATGTATATTGAATCGTATGCTTTCTACACATTGTCTACCTAATTCAGCAAAAGTACCAACCTATTCTAGTTCTGAACTGCCAGTCTTCATTCTCAATTTACTGCATCTAAGCACTAACCACAACCTTCAAACTAGCAGAACAAAATATAAATCTAAATTAAAAATAATAACAAAAGGGCATTCTCATAATACCAACTGCAGAGTCAACCAAGGATATAATCCACCAAACGTGTAAACCTTTGAAAATGGTAAAATAACCCATGAAAGGAAGAAAAAGAAAAGACATGAAAGTATCACAGAGCGACAACAGAATCTTGCCAAACATCAAAACACCAGAAAATGTCATATCCCAACTTTTTTAAATAACAAATTAATGCTCATTGAATCCATATTCACTTATTCATAAAATTTATTACTGGATCTAATCTAAAGCAACTAAATTATTAGCAAGAAGCACACAAGCATAATCAAGAAATGTCTAAAAAAGCTTACTGTTAAGTTCATCAAGCCATCTTTTGACATTGTCAAAAGTAGTCCTCCTGCTAATATCATAAACAACAAGAGCCCCCACAGCCCCTCTGTAATAAGCAGAAGTGACAGCCCTAAATCTCTCCTGCCCAGCAGTGTCCCACACTTGGGCCTTCACCTCCTTGCCATCAATCTCCACCATCTGAGTCTGAAACTCCACTCCAATGGTGGCTTTAGAGTTATGGTCAAACTCATCCCTTGCAAAACGGGACAGCAAATTGGATTTGCCCACTGCTGAATCACCTATAACCACTATCTTGAACAAATACTCCTCCCCTGTTTCTTCGTCCCCCATCTTTTTGCTTGATTTTTGTTTTTTACCCTTCCTCTTTTCTTTATCAGTGTCTTTTCCCCTTCTTTTATTCTTCCTCGGTCGGTACTGTATCCGTACGTGTGGATGGAGAAAAAAGGTCGGATTTTTCCTTCAAGTGGACTAATGTGAACTAGGGAGAGATTGGCTGCACAATTTACGGGTAAAAGTTATAGATATTATACAAATTATTTAATTCATTTTCTTTTTGTTGTTTTGTGTATTTTTTAATTCTTTGTGTAATGAAGAAATTAGATACATATTATAGGCTTATAGCAATTTAGAGTTTGTTTGGTAGAACTAAAAATTCAATTAAAATTAAAAATATAGTCGTTATTGAGTCCCACTCGTTTAATAAAAGTTAACAATAACGTTTAATTTTTTAATTTTAATCCGATTTTAATCTCTATCGAACACGTCCTAAAATACTGTCTATTTATAAAAGAAATGTGGAGTGAAAATAATAACCTGGCATATTCATAGTACATTATTTACCCTTGAATCTCAAAAATCCGCAGTCAAATATGTTACCGTCATGCATAATCATTATTCCACACTCCATTAATCCAAGCTTAGGCTGCTTAGCTGGTGATACACCCCACCCACACCCTTACCCCCTACTCTGCCCTACATACACATAGCATCGCAGCTAGCTTCATCTTCGTGCCTAATTATTTTTTCAGATGTTGTTTTTTTCTGTATTTTTCGCATTTTGGCTATCCTTTTTCACCTGATAAACCCACATTTATTACAAATTTGTTGTTAACACTCTTCAGCTAGCTAGAGTGAGAAAAGGGTATATTGAATTTTCGTCTCTAGCTCTACATTTTTGGATCTATAGTTTCTAACGGATTTTTCTTTTTGGGTTGAGACAAAATGAGGGTTTGGGGGGAGTCATGGTGTTTTTGTAATGGCGGAGGCAAGACGGAGAGAATTAAGGCCGCCATTTTTTCCGGTAAAGGTCCGTCCATGGCCAGAATTGCTTCAGGTGGAACTGGTTTTTTGATCCACCGGAATCTACTCCTCACCACCCATGTCAACCTCCCTTCTGTTGCTGCTGCTGAGGCCGCTGAGATCCGCCTACAGAATGGCCTCTCAGCTTCACTTTTCCCTCATAGGTTAGTTTTTACGGGCATACATTTCTTCCATACTTATATTTTATATGCTTTTTTGGGATAAATAGATGAATGAATGTGTTGAAATATTTAAGTGGATAAACTACTAGGCTAAAATACAAACTTCTTTATTTGTGAAGATGAACAGAAAAAGTAATCAATATAATCACATTGACTTTTGTCTTATTAAAACCGAAAGCTATAGTCACCACACAAATGTTAAATGATTTCCTAGTTTGAAAAATAATCTAATTGCGTGCTCAGATACACACAGAAAACATCTATTAATTTTTTAGCTTCTCTTCCCTTACGAATCCAAGAATCCGTGGCTTGTCTTGGTCCAGATTTGATAAACAACTTACGAAAAACAACAAGAAAAATAATTCGTTAACTGTAGTAAAAATAACAGAATAAGATGTTGGGTTTTTGAAAGCTACCTTAACTTTGGAATTAATTAGGAATTCCAGTAATCACAGATGCACCAGCAAGAGAAGAAGAAAATGTTATATTTTCAGCTAACCGGATTTGCTATGTCTCATCGTATTTGCACAAATGCAGTAAAACCTGTATTGAACCAACAAGCTTGATTAACAACAAGAATTAAACACTGAGAATGGATTTTAAACAGGAAGAGAACCTCTTCCTCAGCCTTTATTAATCAAAGACTAACATGATTTACAAAACCAGAAATCACTAGAAAGCTTAAAACCAGATTTACAAAAGTTCATCCCTCTAACCTATCTCACTTTCACTTCTCCTTCTTCACTCTCGAGAGCAATACTTTTCTGTCATCTAATCAGGCTATTTATAGACACAATACAAGATTCATTTAAGCTATTAGCTACCACCTAACGACTAAAGCTCCAGTTGGTTAAAAGATTCCAACTAACTCAGTTGTAAACCGGTAACTGAAGGCTCCAGCTTGCAACAGATTTTCTGATTTGCTAAGGTTGTCCAATTCTACTTCTTCAAGAATTAATTTCCTTACATAAGAAATAGAAATTGTAACAAGAAAAAAATCCCAAACTGAGGTATGTTCAAACACAGTTTCCTTAAAACAGATTTGCCTTCTCACCATTCGTGCTTGAGGTATAATTTGAGCGTCTGCTTCCCAGGATACAACGATTAACCAGTAAAATCTGAACACAACAGTTTTTTACTCCGGCGAATTGAGTTAGTGTTCGAACAATATCACCACCAGAAAATCGAAACAAGGTTTGGAAATCCCTCGCATCGTTCATGTGTGAGGTATAGTTTGAGCGTCCGCTTCCCAAGATACAACGGTTAACCAGTAAAATCTGAACACAACAGTTTTTTACTCCGGCGAATTGAGTTAGTGTTCGAACAATATCACCACCAGAAAATCGAAACAAGGTTTGGAAGGAAAACAATAGGCAAGACAGACAGAAGCAGAATGCAGAACTGGAGTTTCGACAGTATGCAGAACTGGAGGAAATTTCTTGTGTTTGAACTAGAGGAAAGAGGTTCTCTTATGTAGACTTTTAACTCCTTAAGTCTCCATAACTCACTTGTAATAACTAAGGAAATTCAGACGTTTTGGATTCAAAACCCAAAAGTCAGTTCTAGAAAGTAAAAACAAATTCCCGCATGAGGGGCGGTCAATCTGGTCGTGTGCGCAGATCGCGCTAGCATAGAGTTCAAGGTCTGTAATTTGCACCCCATCATGCGTGCACACGTGGTAAGAGCCCATATGCTATATATGATTACATCCTTCCAAAGTGCAATCATATATAACGTGGTTTTTGCTTTCCTCATTTTCCTATATGGTACAAGTATACTTTTAGTTTTCTTACCCACATAAACTCTTTTCACAAGAAAAAATCGAAACAAGGTTTGGAAGGAAAACAATAGGCAAGACAGACAGAAGCAGAATGCAGAACTGGAGTTTCGACAGTATGCAGAACTGGAGGAAATTTCTTGTGTTTGAACTGGAGGAAAAAGGTTCTCTTATGTAGACTTTTAACTCCTTAAGTCTCCATAACTCACTTGTAATAACTAAGAAAATTCAGACGTTTTGGAGTTTCAAAACCCAAAAGTCAGTTCTAGAAAGTAAAAACAAATTCCTGCATGAAGGGCCAATTTTTGGTCAATCTGGTCGTGTGCGCAGATCGCGCTAGCATAGAGTTCAAGGCCTGTAATTTGCACCCCATCATGCGTGCACACGTGGAAAGAGCCCCTATGTTATACATGATTACATCCTTCCAAAGTGCGATCATATATAACGTGGTTTTTGCTTTCCTCATTTTCCTATATGGTACAAGTATACTTTTAGTTTTCTTACCCACATAAACTCTTTTCACAAGAAATACTTTGAGCACCAATTTCTTATTCACCCGAGCATTATTTTTGGCAAGTAAATACATGATTTCGATGTACTCACGGTGGAGAACACAAATCAACTTCCATATTTCAAAATGAACAACCGGGTCCCACTTAAATTTAGCTCCAAAGTCAGCCACCCAACCTTTTATCCTNGCCACCCAACCATTTTTTCCAACAGAATGTAGTTCTAATCTTGTGTATGTGCATAGAGTTAAATAATCTGATGGTTTAGTTCCGTAATGTGATAATATGTATGTGAAATAAATTAGTTGACTGAAAAACAAAATACTTGGAGGATTGAATCAACTGTGCAGCATTGCAGATAGGTAGACGTGTGTGTACTCCTAGTTATTCTTGTTTGATTTTGAATCCGATAGTAATCAGGAAATTATCATCGCAGTTCATCTAAAGATATAAGAATTTTTAGCTTAAGTAACTTTTCATAAATAGCTTTGTTTTTATTCACGGTCGAGCGAAGATTAAGTGGTTAGCTCGCAAGTTATTAATCACATTCTACTCTTTGTTCTGTTTATTTTGCCCTATTACTTAATACCCTGAATTGTAAAGAAGTTATTTGAATACCAATACTGAAAATGGAACAATTGAACCAGTTTCATTTAGGGTTGCTATCAATTTATATTTTTTTCACGAGTCATGATTTGTTTCTGATCCTCTAGGCTCTAATAATGATTTATACGCTAGATAAATAGGATGCTGCGTTTCATGACCAGATATAAATGTCTTGATGTGTAATTTAACCTTGTAATATTTATCGAGAAAATAAAGATGAAAATTTATGTTACTATTCCTTGACACTGTCAGCATCTTTGCATGCTAAAATGTGCTTACGAGGCGGTGTGGCTACAGGAAAAATGAGCAGTGTTATATGCTTACTGTTCATAGCACTGAATTAGTACGCAGGAGCTCTATTATATAAGATGCCAAGAAAAGCACATCATAGAATAAATTTCATGCTTGTGCTGAGTAGAAGACCCGGGTTATTTTATTTTTTTGTTGGAAACATAGTTCATCGATAGGATAAGTAACGATTGGATGTTACTTTCATCTAATTACGGTATAATTCTATCAAGAAGAAAGATGTCCACTGATCAATCCTCTTTCCTGGCAATCTGAACAAAATCTGGAAAGTCCGTAAACTTTCACATTCATGTGCATAGATTCTTAACTTTTCTTGGAAAGGCTTAGTATAGATTATGTTTAGTAAAATTTATTCAAGCTTATAAGCTAGTCGAACATCATTTGTATCTATATATTCTGTAGGATCCACAACTTTTATTCACTTTTAATTCACACATTTTATAAGACCCAAGACTTGTTACCTACAAAAAGCTTTACCTAACATACATATAACTTCCACAGAGAACCCAAAACTATTACATTCCAGTTCACAATTTTTAACAGGATTAATTTCATAATAATTATCTTTAGAAATACCAGTATGGGATATATTTTTATACTTAATGACAACAATTTCGATTACTTTTAATGTGAAATATATTTTTCTAACAGTTTCACAAGTCATTATTATAAGTTCTAATGTTATTCAGAATAACAGATTTACAGAATAGCTATTCAAAGGCGCTCATGAGTCATGACAAAGAATCAGAAAATTCAAAACCAAAATCAACACAAAGATCAAACCTTCATCTGTGATAAGAGTTAAATGAACTTTTTTCATGAATCCTCACAATATTCGTAAAAGAACACGGATTGAAAATAAAATATCACTTGAAAATTTATTGTGATTACACGCGAGAATTTTGAGATATTGATGTTTTCATGTTTAATACCCTTTTTGGTTCCATTTAGTGAAGTTTATGTCAATTGGAAAGGCAAATGGGTCAGTTTCTATAGTTGCAATTGACCAGCTCAAGGTGAAAATCTTAATACACCACTAATTACTAAATTAAAAGTTGACTGATAGGTTTTTAAGTTTTGGACAGTTATTTCTTCTCATTCTCGAATATTCCCCAGTACTTCTTTTGAGAAATGGAGAGCTTGGCCCCGTGGAGTTGAGGAGAGCTGGAGGGATTTGATCATAGGACATACTCTCCCTAATATTATCAAGTCTTCTCCTTGGGTTTATGCTTAGAGAAAAAGTTCGAGCATTTTAGATTCAGATAAGTTTGGAATACTCGAGGACAACATTTTGGAATTCTCCACAATTTATAAGAGATTTTGAATATGTCAGATTTGTCTCATGCTTTGCCATGCTGCTGTAAACAGTCCCCTGTTCTTCTTCTTCTTCTTCTTTTTATTTTTTTATGGACACTAATTAAAATCTCTCTTTCGTTTTATATAAGAGTTTAGCTCAACATCCGTATTCTCGGAAATTACAATGATTCTCTATAATCCTTACTTGATTCCAGGTTCTTCATTACAAGCCCTGTTCTTGATTTGACAATAGTGGGCCTTGATACCTCGGATGGAGACTCAATGTCAGTGCAGCAACATCACTACTTGAAAACATGTTCGAAACCAAATTTGGATCTAGGAACTGCAGTTTATCTTTTGGGCTACGCTGCAAAGCAGGATCTGACTGTAGGTGAAGGAAAGGTAGTAATAGCCACTGATAATCTTATAAAGTTGTCTACTGATGGAGCAACTTGGAGCCCAGGTTCTGCTGGTTTCGACGTTCATGGAAATCTTGCATTTATGGTTTGTGATCCTATGAAACTTGCCACGTCGCCAAACACCAAATCCTCTTCAACTTCATCATCATCGACATCATCATGCAAGAAGGATTTTCCTATGCAATTTGGTATTCCTATCCCCATCATCTGTGATTGGTTAAACCAGCATTGGGAGGGGAATCTCGATGAACTCAACAAACCCAAATTACCTATAATTCGCTTGATGTCTTCTGGTCAGAAAAGTGAGCATTCTTGTGCATCCTTCACGATGCGGCGAGTTTTTAAGTCCACGGAAGGTGAGAATGAGGGAACTCCATCATCATCAAATGTTATTCCCAAACTTGGAGAGCAGCCTGGACCAAGCTATACTGCTGTTGTGAATACTTGTGAGGATGAGACCTTGACTGCTGCTCCACGTGCGAAGACTCGTGTACAGGGGATTCCTACTCCAGAAATCTACAATTCCCCGAAGTTGACTTCAGTCCCAGTTGGGAAGAGGGAAAGTAACCAATATCAACCTTTAGACATCAATTTTCCAGCAAGAATTGCTAAAGCTAGAGTTTCATCATCACCACCAGTGAGGAAAATGCCCTCCAAGTGTGATGAAAATTTTGTCGAGCAGACCTCACTGCCGCAGCCACTAGAAGGAGAACAACATAGTGACAGAGTCCTATCTGACCCCATGCTAGATGCTGAGTCAACAGGATCTGTTAACGTGGCCCAGAGCAATGTCCAATTATGTTCATCCCCCATTGAGTTCTCAGAGTTCCAGCATGAATACAGTAGCGAAGGTGAAACTACCATGTATTCTGCCGAAACTGCTGAAAGTCGTAACTACCCTAGTCCTAGAGGGGGAAGGTTTCAACAAGTTGGAAGGAGTCAAAGTTGTGTAAATTACAATAGATGGGAGGCTGTGCAGAAAAATCCAGTTGCTCATAGGACAATGCCAGAAAAGCAGAGAAGCTTTTTGCAAGGAAGGAATGTGTACTCACAAGGCGCAACGTCTCATAGGAGTAATGACTTCTTCAGTCCCACAGTTTCTTCAATCATGAAGAAGCGGAACAACTTGGAGCGGCAGCCAAACAGGCCCCGACCAAGTGCAGTCCATTCATCTCCGAGATGGATGTTTTAACATTTATCAATATCTGGTATATTAATATGGTCTATGCATACTTTTCACTTATTTTTGCATATTATTTAACTAATTTGTTGTGACCCAAATGTACTCAGAACATATCAAATATCAATAAGAAAAATATTGAGAATTTGGATACAGATAGAATTATCTTTTTAATCAGCAAAAACTTGTGTAAAGATTGAAAATTTGTGCTGCAGACATTTATGCCTGTGAAGTGAATGAACAGAGGTATATTTCATCTTACACTATACCTGTACTTCCAAGTTTACACAAAAATAATAGCAGGGTAGTATGTTCCATGACTTCTAAATGATGCATACATTGTTTAGATGAGCCCAAAATTTAGGAAAATTCCTGAAATTGTCACGAGCAAATAAATCAATTTTTTTTTTCTCAATTTAGTCTAAATTCTTTGTGTTGTTTTAGCTAAATCGAACTGGAAACTAAAAGAATCAAGAGAATCTCTTAAAAATTTTCAAATAGGAAAATTACTATATAAAAATGTTAAGAGGATCTCTTGCATTTCAAAATCTTTTCAATGTAGGTGACAATGGAGGTGGAAAAAGGAAAATCAAAAGCAATTTGGGACATCATGTTGTGTTCGAGTAAGTGCTTGTTTGGGTGGTTTCACTTAACCAATTGAGACAAGGTCAATTGAAATTCTTACTTTGCTATTAATGAAACTTTACTTTAAAAAAGATAACTTCAATTGAGAAATTCTTAAAATTTTGTTTCCTCACACTTTCTTGGATACAACAAACAAAATTTATAGACATTGGTCCTTAAACAAGATGGAGTGTCTTGGTACAATTTAGAATGACAGAAGTTATGACTCGACTACTTGAGTTATCAAGATTCAAGAATCTTCTGTTCTTTTTATAGAGAAATGTCCATTTTTTTTCACAAAAGATGATTAATCATAATTGATATTCTACTCGACTGTACAAAACAAGATCCTGAAAGAAAGTGAGTCAGTTTGGACGAATGATTATCATCATAACATCATAATCTCCATTCTTTGTCCGTCAAAATATTCTGAATTTCAAGCTTAATTTGAAGAGTTGTTTACAAATCTCTCAAAGTTCGTCATATCATTGAAACTATTTGTCGTAAATCCGAAAGTAATCCAAGGCGGAGTAGATATTGCTTTGAAGAAAACGCATCATATAAGTGTTTCAAGTGTCTTCATTCCTGGGTTTTTGTTTGAGTTTTGATCTTCTTCTACTTCAGGTTTGTACATGATTTTTTCAATAAGTTGACTAAGAGAGCTAGTCTCTCTTTGGGGTCATTTTCAGGGATTTTTGTCACTTCTAAGTTGTGTAAGTGGAATAAATGAATTGTAGCTCTTGGGTCTTCTTCATCACTTAGTGACATTAATTGCATTGGTACGATGGCATGGCCCTTTGCCAGTCCTCATTCAGAATCAAATATCTTATTACATGTATATAAAGATTTGTATAATGGATTACACAATGTCACGTGGCACTCTATGATTTGTCAGTTTAAAATACAATCAATTTTTCATCCAATCATTTTTATGGAAAAATAGCATAGTCCTAGAATCAATAAAAGGTAATTTTATTCACACCAAAATTTTTATTTCTTGTACCACATTTTAATTAAAATTAAGTTTCTTAATATTTGCTCGTTATAACAATTACGTCCCTAGCGATTTTCCATGTCGTTCTTATCCTCAAATTTTTCATTAATTAACACATTTTGTATTTGATTAATAATTTTATGTCCAAAGGTCCATTAAAATGGCGTAAAATAACTTAATTTTTCCAACGCATTTTTAAAAAATAAATAAATAAAAAGTGTAAAAAATATTTTTTCCCTCATTTTAAAGCATGAAAATAAAATATTTTAATATAAATCATCAAATAAAGACGTAGTTATTAAGAATAATGTTATTTGCAGTCGCTCACTGAAACAGTCGCCATATGTGGCACACACATGTCAATGTCACGTGGCACTCTATGATTTGTTAGTTTAACATACGATCAATTTTTCATCCAATCATTTTTATGGAAAAATAGCATAGTCCCAGAATCAATAAGAGGTAATTTTATTCACGCCAAAATTTTTATTTCTTCTATCACATTTTAATTAAAATTAAGTTTCTTAATATTTGCTCGTTATAACAATTACGTCCCTAGTGATTTTTCATGTCGTTCTTATCCTCAAATTTTTCATTAATTAACACATTTTGTATTTGATTAATAATTTTATGTCCAAAGGTCCGTTAAAATGACGTAAAATAACTTAATTTTTCCATCGCATTTTAAAAAAATAAATAAATAAAAAGTGCAAAAAATATTTGTTCCCTCATTTTAAAGCATGGAAATAAAATGTTTTAATATAAATCATCAAATAAAGACGTAGTTATTAAGAATAATGCTACTTGCAGTCGCTCACTGAAACGGTCGCTCTATGTGGCACACGCATGTCAAGTATGTATTTGATGCATTAAATGTGGTTAAAAACTACAACATTAATGCATCAAATAATTACATGTCATGTGTATGCCATATAGAACGACTGTTGCAGCGAACGACTGCAAGTAGCATTACGGGAGGGGTATTCCTCTTTACCTGGTAATATGGTGAATTGAATGCAATTGCATTATTCTTATTATTTTATTAAGAAAAAATTGTTACAAGATATGGGGTGTGGGTAAATGCGAGTAATGAATGGGGGTTGGCCAATCTTATCCTAGTCTAGTTTCGGTGCAGAAATGTGTGGTAACCCCTCGTTTCTAGGGCAGCCAATGGCAAATTTTGGAGGATGAAAAAAAATTAAAAAAAGAAATAATAATAATAATAAGGGGTTTCTAGGGCAGCCATGGCAAATTTTCGAGGATGAAAAAAAATTAAAGAAATGAATAAATAATAATAATAATAATAATAATAATAATAATAATAATAATAATTCACACTTTATCATATTACAAATATGTAGCATTAATTATAAGTCATTTAATTTCACATTTCATTTAACCTATCATTTTTAGCCACATAGACTGTATTTTCATCCCCACTGGGGATGAATAACATTACTCAATTTATATATGTTTATTTTGTTTTTCACGGGGATTAAGAACTCTTATTCATTGTTATTGAAAAATCAACTTTTTGTCCAAAACTTTCATAATTTACCATTATTTAATTATCAATAACTAGTTGTAGATTATTATTGGAAGTAATACAAAAATAAGAATATATTAGTAAACCAACAAAACATTTTTAAGGACTGTTTGGGGAACATTTTTTCCTCATTTATACAAAAAAAGGAGCGTTGGAGTAGTAACTTCTTGACAAAACACCGTGAACAATTTGACAATGCAAGCACACATTTCTCCATTCTACTCCATCAATGCAAACACGTGTTTCATTCTATTTTTGACAACAATTTGAATTCCATGAGATGAGGGCATAGACGTCATTTTTCACAAAATTCATTTGACCAAGAAAACAAAAAACATTGTAGCCAACCCATGCGATGTGACATGAAAAGGCATTTTTAGGATGTGAGAATGAATATCAAACAGAGACTTAATAAAGAAAAAAACTATATAATAGGATAAGAAAATAAGGAAAATGAACTTATATAAATTGGACGGATGGAATATATTGCAATGCTTGCAGTATTTTATTTCTTTCCCTTTTTGTTTTTTTATTTTATTTTTCAAATATCATTTAAATTTTTAAAATATAAATTAAAAAAGAATATAAGAGTAGAAGGGGTTATAGGGGATCTTGTTCCTTGATCCAATGAAGCGAGATTAAAATATTTGCATTTACTTATTCTTTTTTAATACTATGAAATGATTTAAGAATCAGACCCTGTTTGGTATACATTATTTTTTTTCATTCTCATTTTCAACCACACATTTTTCAATAAAATAATATTTTTCATCACATCAATAACTTTTCTTTCATATTTAACCACGCATTCTCCATCAATCTACTATTCAATAATACATTCTTTCAAAAGAATGTGTCACAAACACACTCTCAAAGTAAATTCAAGATGAAACCATGTGCGACTGTGCTACTTGTACGAGAGAGGGGGTGACGCATGAGGTGGATGGGTGGGTTTTAATTTCTTTTAATCACAATGGGACCCACCACTGTGGGAGATTGTTAACCTCGATCGACCCTTGCTGTACGAATAGCATTGCTCGACCATGTGCCACCCTATTTCAAATAGAAGGAACATTTAATGTTGCCTTTATGATTTATACGAACAAAGCCAACTACTTGTTCAGCTCTATAAATAGGCCTGGAGCATTACAGCCTTCTTTTGAATTTGTTTTCTATTAATTGGTTTAAATGAATTAATAGTTTTCTACTCAATCTAGTCCAGTACTTGATAGAATCAATGATTTAAAGTTCTTTCGTACGTTCATCCACAAAATGTAAAAGGTCAAATGATCGATCGGTGCTCCAATTTTTCTATGTAATAGAAATGATTTTGAATTTTTTACTGGTTGAACTAACTTATTCGATTCCAATCCTGCAACTTTGATAAGATACAAATCAAATTGGTAATTTTTTACATATAAGTTAATATTTAACTTCATTTTTTTTTATAAATTTAAATATTTACTTAAAATTTAAAGTTAATATTTTTTTACTTATAAGTAAAGTTTACAATTATTAGTTAATTTTATGCTTTTAAATAACTTTTTACTTATAAGTAACTTTATATATTTTGTAAGTGAATTTTTATCTTATTAGTAGTATTTTTATTTTATAAACAATTTTTTTTTACATAGAAGTGATTTTTCACTCATAAGTAATTTCTTAATTGTAATGTAATTTTTCTTATTTTATAAGTAATATTTTACTTATAATTATTATTTTAAATTATAATGTAATTTTTTCTTATAAATAATTTTTTTAGTTAATATATTTTTATTTATAAGTTTGTTTTAAAGAAATTATATTGATTGTAAGCTCTTATTTGACCCAATTATTTTCAAAATATAT